TCCCCCAGCTGGCTGGGGGGTTCTGGGAGTCGAAGTCCACCCATCTTAGAGTTGCCAAGGTTGAGGAGCACCGTCCCAGGAGCACCCAGGAACCTCCTCCTTCTTTCAGAACTGCCAACCTGCTCTCAATGGGGGAAGGCATTTCTAAGAGTGCAATGGGCCATCTGGTTAGCTTGAACAACGGCAAGCCTTGATGAATGTGAGAGTTGGGTCCACATTGTTTTTCTTTTTCTTTGAAAGGATAAAATGATTGCAAGCAGCGCCTGTTTCAGCCAAAGCAAACAATCAGAGTTATTAGACATTTTTCAGGGTTGTTTTTTCACAATCACGATCAACCTGATAAGATAACCCTGGGTGTTATTTTCAAGGAAGAAAATACAATATGGTTAAGTTCACATGCACTCTTAAGAAGTCTGGAAACAATATTTCTTTATTTCCTCCAAGATCCATAACAAAACCCAGAAAGCAGCGCGGGATGGACTGTGCAATTCTACAAGGTCAAAATTGGCGAAAGAGGAACGAAGAACATCAGCTCCGAAAGAACTTGCAGAAAATGCCCGGTTATAACACGACCACCCAGCCCTGCTCCCATGCCTTGGGAAACGCATGACTTGGGCACCACACACCAATTTTGCCTGGTTTTGGTGAGCAACCCTTATCTTCAGGTGGACCAAAACCTTTCTTCTCTCTGCCAGCTTGATACGTCTTCCAACTTTTGAAAAGCATTCTTCCTTTACATGCAAAACTACAGAGATGTTTAACTTCGTTGAAAGGGAGGAGGGGACCGGGGATCAAGTTAAAAGTGCATCATGTGCCAGGGCAGAGTGAAAGGAATTCTCTTGAACTGTTGGGAGGCATAAGTATGAAGGACGATGAAGTTGAAGGCAGTGCTACGGTGGGCCTGTCCTTCAGCCACAGCGCCAGCTGATGCCGGACCACAGTCTAGACCAGTGTTTTTCAACCTTGGCAACTTTAAGATGGGTGGACTTCAACTCCCAGCATCCCTTGCTGGTTGGGGGATGCTGGGAGTTGAAGTCC